TAAGCCTGGCGCGCACTCGTGAAATACTTCGGCTTATCTGTCGACAATGGGTTATACATTTTTTTTCTTTACTAATCTCTAATAGTCTTAAAGCAAAATGCAAATAGAATAATTCTACAAATATTTTGTGATAATTTTAGAATTATTGATGAACTACATATACTTATTATTGTCTGAATACTTAAATTTTCGGTAATTACCGTGGTCCAACACCTACTACACACACTCAGCTGATCGCTAGACGCGTCTCCATGGCAACCAAATGTAAACACATTCCTGCGCACAGAACTCTCGGGAAACACCGCGGCCGTAAAGTAATTTTTGAAATCGCCTGTCACGTTTAACACATCAAGCAGGCTCAACCAGTAAGTTGAGGATATATTTAATACATATAGGTTACTAGAGGTTCTAAGAGAAAAAACTGATGTTGTATTCTTGGGGATATTCTCATAATAAAACTTCTGCAGATTTTCAACAGCCAGAATCTATATACTTTATAAGATATATCAGTTATGAACTGTTATTTGCATATCTTGATGTATTTATTTATGAAGATAATATCTCACATACAAAATTAGGACTCACGTATAACTAGTAATTTTAATACGAACTTATGGATAATATATAAGGGATGGATGAAAGATAAAGGAATTTTTTAAAATAATATAATGAATATATTCTAACAATAAAATGGTGATTCCCTGTCATCATTTTTATATTAACTAATAATATTGTCTGCTGATTTCTTTCCCTGTTCTGATGTATTCAGACATTTAGAAGTATTAATTATCAAATCAATGAAACAAAATTGGAAATGTTTCATAAAAAAATGGAGAATGAATCAAGGAATACAAGATTTTTTTTTCTTGTAATCATATTGCTGTGTACTGCCAAATGCACATAAAACCTTCTGTTTTCAGTGATGACTGGATTGCAGTCTGAAGTCTGACACAAAAGCCAAAATATTTCTAGCACTTAAATTCTGGCTTGGACTAGTTCCTAATCTGACAATAATTTGCTAGGGAGACCTAAAAATTCTGTCTTTCCTGAATATATATATGATGGAGGTTTGCTAGCCTTTGTCAGAGAACCAACAAACAGGTGTTTTCTATACATTTCCCCAAATTTGTAAATACACCTCCTCAGAAACAACAATGAGCGCTCGTCGAGGACCTGAAGAGGAAGGAGAGGAGCTTGATGGTGGCCCAGGACTTGCATATATGCCCTTTGTGGTCATGGATGATCTGCTTGATAAACTCAAACTTCTAAATTATGACAAAGAATTTTTACAAGAACACCGTATGAAGCCAGTTAACAGGTATGCTAATCAGCTAAGTGTGAGGTATAGCTATATGTAATTGAACATTTTAGGATTGGATAATGAAAACTTATATAAAATATCAATAACCTGAACATTTGTTCTTTCTGCAGACATTATTTTGCTATTGCAACAAATCCTGGTGAGCAGTTCTACCTTTTTACATCGCTCAGTGCCTGGTTGATACGGAAGACTGGGAGAACCATGGAACCTCCTCAGGAATATGACGACCCCAACTCTACAGTGTCAAGTATTCTTGACCATCTCAGACAATTGGTGTGGAAGTTACTCTTATTCTTAACTGAGTTTTAATGATATATTATGCTTGAGCTTCTGTCATACAATCCAGATGTATTTTTCTGCTCAAAAGTCTCATTTGTTGAATGGTTCTGCACTGATACATACTGATGTGGATACTAATTGAATGATCAATATTTTTTCTAATAAACAATGTGGTTCCATGCAGATATAACATATTCAATGCACAAGTCTTACACAGTCATTTATGTTTAGGGTGTTACTGTTGATTTCCCACCAAGCAAGTTAAAGGCTGGTTTTGGAGAGCATGTTATTTTTGTTCTCGACCGACTTGCTGATTTTGCACTGAAAACAGCCAGTTTTGCTTGGAAAAAGTAAGTGATATTTATGTTACAATTAATGCCTCAACATAGTCATAGTTCTTTAGTCTAATGAAAATACCCACACATGAATACAAAGACAGAAACACAGACACACATGAAAACATATTTACACAGCCACTTTCATAATAAATATTACAGTAATACATACATTGTATTCTATTGGAAAAGACACTTGTTCCATTCATACCCCTCCTGTTTTAGATGACTAAATAAATGTGTGTGTGTGTGTGTGTGTGTAAATGCATAAATAGCATTCTCATCTAACAATCTTGCTAACCTACATTCAGTTCCTTGCACTTCCAGTGATGTTAACCCCGTCATTCCTTTCACACACAGGGTAATTTAAGAGCAACAGTAAACAGAATAACTATAGTAACAAATGGAATTTAACTTGAAATACTATAATAAAATTCTTTTCAATTCAGAATTTGAACATTGGCGTTCATCCAATAATTTTAATCCCCAAAATTTCAGGCCAGTGTACCCTACTGAGGATACTGGCGGAGACGAAGGAGATGTAGAAGATGAAGCAGAACTTACATTAGACAAAGTGGAGGAAGAAATGATGGCAGAGTTTGAGGATGAAGAAGAGGAAGAAGAGAATATTATGCACATGGATGATTTGAAAGACCTTACTAAACAGAAGGTCAGTATTGAGCATTATGAACTTGCTATATTAAATAAATGAATTTAAATATGTGAGACACTGACCAAGTACAGTGGGCTTTTCATTATGAACAATTTATGTTGTGCAGCAATGTTTTTTTAGTGTTATTATGTCTCAGATGTGATGTTAGTTGATTGTATGTGCTTGTATTTTGGCAGAAAGACAGGGATGGGTAAACAAATACACCCAGAGAGAGGGGGGAGAGAGTGAGAAGGAAAGAGAGAGAGAGAGGGAAGAAAGAGAAGGAGAGAGGGAGGGGAGAGAGAGAAAGAGAGAGAGGTGGGAGATAGAAGAAGAGAGAGAGGAGGGAGAGAGAAAGAAGGAGGGATATAGAGAGAAGGAGGGAGGGAGAGGAGAAGAGAAAGAAGAAGAAGAGAGAGAGAAGAAGAAGGAGAGAGAGAGAAGAAGAAGGAGAGAGAGAAGAAGAAGGAAGAGAGAGAAGAAGAAGAGAGAGAGAGAAGAGAAGAAGAGAGAGAGAGAAGAGAGAGAGAAGAAGAAAGAGAGAGAGAGAGAGAGAACAAGGAGAGAGAGAGAAGAACAAGGAGAGAGAAAGAAGAAGAGAAGAAGAGGAAGAGAAGAAGAGAAGAGAGAGAGAAGAAGAAGGAGAGAGAGAAAGAAGAAGAGAAGGAGAGAGAGAGAAGAAGAGGAGAGAGAGAGAGAAGAAGAAGGAGAGAGAGAGAGAAGGAAGGAGAGAGAGAGAAGAAGAAGAAGAAGAGAGAGAGAGAAGAAGAAGAAGAAGAGAGAGAATAGAGAAGAGAAGAAGGGAGAGAGAGAAGAAGAAGAAGAGAGAGAGAGAGAAGAAGAAGGAGAGAGAGAGAGAAGAAGGAGAAGAGAGAGAAGAAGAAGGAGGAGGAGGAGAGAGAAGAGAAAGAGAGAGAAGGAGAAAGGAGAGAGAAGGAGAGGAGAAGGAGAAGAGAGAGAGGAGAAGGAGAAGGAGAGAGAGAGAAGAGAAGGAGAGAGAGAGAAGGAGAAGGAGAGAGAGAGAAGGAGAAGGAGAGAGAGAGAAGGAAGAGAGAAGAGGAAGGAGAGGAAGAGAGAAGGAGAAGGAGAGAGAGAGAAGGAGAAGGAGAGAGAGAGAAGGAGAAGGAGAGAGAGAGAAGGAGAAGGAGAGAGAGAGAAGGAGAAGGAGAGAGAGAAGAGAGGAGAGAGAGAGAGAGAGAGAGAGAGAGAGAAGGAGAAGGAGAGAGAGAGAGAAAGAGAGAGAGAGAGAAGGAGAGAGAGAGAGAAGGAGAAGGAGAAGAGAGAGAGAGGAGAGGAGGAGAGAGGGAGAAGGAGAGAGAGAGAGGGAGAGAAGGAGAGAGAGAGGGAGAGAAGGAGAGAGAGAGGGAGAGAAGGAGAGAAGGAGGAGAGAGAGGAGAGAGAGAGAGAGAGAGGAGAGAGAGAAGGAGAGAGAGAGAGGGAGAGAAGGAGAGAGAGAGGGAGAGAAGGAGAGAGAGAGAGAGGGAGAGAAGGAGAGAGAGAGAGAGAGGGAGAGAAGGAGAAGAGAGGGAGAGAGAGAGGAGAGAGAGAGGAGAGAGAGAGGAGAGAGAGAGGGAGAGAAGGAGAGAGAGAGGGAGAGAGAGGAGAGAGAGAGGGGAGAAGGAGAGAGGGAGAGAGGAGAGAGAGAGAGAGAGGGAGAGAAGGAGAGAGAGAGGGAGAGAAGGAGAGAGAGAGGGAGAGAAGAGAGAGGAGAGAAAGGAGGAGAGAGAGAGGAGAGAGAGAGGGAGAGAGGAGAGGAGAGAGAGGAGAGAGGAGAGAGAGAGGGAGAGAAGGAGAGAGAGAGAGAGAGAGAAAGGAGGAGGGGGAGAGAAGGAGAGAGAGAGGAGAGAAGAGAGGGAGAGAAGGAAGAGAGAAGAGGAGAGAAAGGAGAAGAGAGAGGAGAGAGAGAGAGAGGAGAGAGAGGAGAGAGAGAGAGAGAGAGAGAGAGAGAGAAGAGAGAGAGAGGAGAAGAGAGGAGAGGAGAGGAGGAGAGAGAAGAGAGGAAGACAGAGAGAGGGAGAGAAGGAGAGAGAGAGGGAGAGAAGGAAGAGAGAGAGGGAGAGAAGAGAGAGAGAGAGAGAGAGGAGAGAGAGAGGAGAAGAGAGAAGAAAGGAGAGGAGAAGAGAGAGAGAGAGAGAGAGAGAGGGAGAGAGAGAGAGAGAGAGGAGAGAAGGAGGGAGAGAGAGAGAGAGAAGAGAGAGAGAGAGAGAGAGAGAGAGAGAGAGAGAGAGAGAGAGAGAGAGAGAGAAGAGAGAGAGAGAGAGAAGAGAGAGAGAGAGAGAGAGAGAGAGAGAGAGAGAGAAGAGAGAGAGAGAGAGAGAGAGAGAGAGAGAGAGAGAGAGAGAGAGAGAGAAGAGAGAGAGAGAGAGAGAGAGAGAGAGAGAGAGAGAGAGAGAGAGAGAGAGAGAGAGAGAGAGAAGAGAGAGAGAGAGAGGAGGAGAGAGAGAGAGAGAGAGAGAGAGAGAGAGGGAGAGAGAGAGAGAGAGAGAGAGAGAGAGAGAGAGAGAGAGAGAGGAGAGAGAGATGAGAGAGAGAGAGAGAAGGAGAAAGGAGAGACAGAGAGAGAGAGAGAAGAGAGAAGGAGAGAGAGACAAAGAGAGAAGGAGAGACAGAGAGGAGAGAGAACAGAGAGACAGAGAGAGAGAGAGAAGGAGAGACAGAGAGAGAGAGAGAGAGAGAGATTTGATTTGATAATATTTATTTACAGAACAGTGTACATGCCCTGTAAAAAGCCAGGGTAAGATGCTACCGCATCTATCCAACTGGCTATGCTTATATTTATGTAAAGGGCTATTAGTCAAACATTAGTTCTACATGCCTGAAGGGCTGTGTCATTATGCATACATTATTCACATATCATCTAGTTGGTAAAAAAACTTTTATATCCCTAATCATATCGAAGACAAGGCCAGTGTCTATGATAAAATTAATATAATCAATAAGTGCTGGTCTCTGGACAGTGCTATTTGATCGATAGGATGCAGTTTTTGAAGCAAACAAAGTAAGTAATGTGTAAGATTATGCGACTTGGGCGCCTTGCACATTTTGCATTGGTGATATGTGACTGGCTTTGCCTCCAAAACTGCATCCTGTACATAAGGTATAGTGTATTGATGCCCTATGCGTAGCCTGGTTAGCGTTACCTGCTGTCTTCGAGACAGTCCATCGTAGAATTTATATGGTTTGTCAGCATCACATGACCCGACAATACTTTCATAATGCCAGATGGTACCATGTCCACTTTTCTTCAATTTTTCAATGGTCCATACCTGGCCCTCATAATCTCGAAACAGCTGATAACACACGTTTTTTTCATTTGACTGATAGATAGCGGTATTACATAATATGGTTCTTCATGGGAAAGTGCTTGCTTTGCTAACTTATCTACGTTGTCACAGGTTGATATCCCTATATGAGAGGGTATCCAGTATAGTGATACGTGTATACCCTGCTCGGATAGGCTAGCGATTTGGTGAATGGTATTGATAGTTACCATGTTTTCTGGATTAAATGTTGTAAGTCTATATAGTGCACCCTGGCTGTCAGAGAAGACAGCTAGGTGTTGCTGCTGTTCAGTACCTTTTTTGATGGCATGGTATATTGCTACTGACTCGGCATCAGTTGTGCTTGTCCAGTTGGAAATTCGCACACTTTCTTGAAGAGCAATGTCGGGAATTAGAACACCAATCCCTGCTGCCCCATGAGGATCAGTAGAAGCATCACAGTAGATTGCAAGTGGGGGGGGGGTTACTGAGGGGATGGAGAATTTCATCAATATATTTCAAGTAATGGCCTTTTAACTCTGTTATTGAAGTCATGGGTTTTGGCCCTGTTAATTTATCAATATGTACGTTAACATGTGATCTATGCCATGGTGAAGTAAGCGTTGCTTCTGGGATGTTGATAAAATCATTATTCCACACACTAAAGCTGAGAATAGCCTGGGCAGTCTTGGCCTTCCATTCCAAGTTTGATTTCATGAGATTGGAGTATCGAGGCCGTCGGACATGCCTAACTCTACAATTAATCTCATTAGACAATGCAAGGGAAATTTGAGGTTTGGACTGAATCTGCAGAAGTCTGATGTCCTCATGACAAGAACTTTAGCAGTTATTGGGCAACCCAAAATGACTCTCATGGCCTTGTTCTGTAAGATTTCAAGGGGTCTGAGAACATTTTGTGGCAACATACTAAGAACCGGGCTCGCATAGTCTATCGTGGACCTAACAAGGGAAATGTACATCAATCTTAGGACTCTTAGGGAAGCACCAACGTATCTGTTACTTATGTATTGTAAAGGTCTTAAGCGCTCCAGGCAGCATTCTCTGTGTTTGAAACGATTTCCCGGTGAAGCGGGAATTGCGGGACATGAGGTGGGGAGCAATCACCATAACACCTAGATACAGAGAGAGAGAGAGAGACAGAGACAGAGACAGAGACAGAGACACAGAGAGAGAGAGAGACAAGAGAGAGAGAGGGGAGAGGTGGGGGAGGGAGATAGAGAGGGGGGGTGAGAGAGAAGAGAGAGGTTGGAGGAATAGAAAGAGAGAGGGGGAAAAGAGGAGATAGAGAGAAGGGGGGGAGAAGGGAGAGATAGAGAGAGGGGGGGAAAGAGAGAGATAGAGAGAGGGGGGGAAAGAGAAGAGATAAAGAGAGGGGGAAAGAGAGAGATGAGAGAGGGGGAAGAGAAGAGGAAGAGGGGGGGAAAGAGAGAGATAGAGAGAGGGGGGAAAGAGGAGATAGAGAGAGAAAGAGAGAGATAGAGAGGGGGGAGAGAGAGATAGAGAGAGGGGGAGAGAGAGATAGAAGAGGGAGAGAGAGATACAGAGAGGGAGGAGAGAGAGATAGAGAGAGAGATAGAGAGAGGGGAGAGAGAGAGATAGAGAGAGGGGAGAGAGAGAGAGAGATAGAGAGAGGGGGAGAGAGAGAAGAGAGATAGAGAGAGGGGAGAGAGAGAAGAGAGAGAGGAGGGGGAGAGAGAGAGAGAGGGAGAGAGAGAGAGGGAAGAGAGAGAGAGAGAGAGAGAAAGAGGAGAGAGGAGGGAAGAGAGAGAAGAAGAGAGAGGAGAGAGAGAGAGAGAGAGAGAGAGAGAGAGAGAGAGAGAGAGAGAGAGAGAGAGAGAGAGAGAGAGAGAGAGGGGCATAGAAGGGAGAGGGGAGAACGACAGAGAGGGAGGAAGTGTTTGTGTGTATTTCTGCATGCGCGCGCGTGTGTGTGTGTGTTTCGTGTGCGTGTGCGTGTGCGCGTGCGTGCGTGCATGCGTGTGTGGAAAGATCCTTGAGCATAATTTTTTTTAAGTTTTGTTTTGGATACGTACGTGAATGCAAGTTAGCATATGTAGTCAAACAGCTGTGACTACACTGCAGGATGGAGATGCCTGGCCAGACGAAATTCTGCATTCTAACACAACTTCAGAAGAATGGAGATTGGAATTGGAAAGAGTCCTGCCCCAGCTGAAAGTTACCATCAGAACAGGTTTGTATTACATTTTTTTTTTACACGAACGAGGGTTTTGTATATGTGGGAATATAAACATTAGGACGCTGTTGTACATAAGGTACCGTTCCTTTTATGAAATTCTGGTTTGATTAAAAAAAAAAAAAAAATACATAGGAATATATATTAATGCCGGTTTCTTAAGACTGTGCGAGACCCGACCCCAATGAATATTCATTATACGGATATGCAAATACACAGAAGTAGATACACATCTATCAAACTAGACATGCATACCTACCGGACAGATAGACAGATAAATGTATATCTATCAGATGGATAGACAGAGTGCATTTATTTCTGTGAATATATATGTCCATTTATATAAATATTTATGTCCATTATTATATGATTCCATTCTTTATCCACCATTATATATGTGAATATGGGTCCATTATTAAGAATATTTATGTCCATTCATTTATGTCCATTTATAAGAATATGTCCATTTATAAGAATATTTATGTCCATTTATATGATTTATATTATTTATGTCCATTTATAAGAATATTTATGTCCATTTATATGAATATTTATGTCCATTTATAAGAATATTTATGTCCCCATGTGGGGTCGGGCCTTTCACAATTTTAACAAACAGGCCTATTTATGCCGGTGAATTGCAGACAACAGGGACTGGCGATCGCACATCGAACAAATGCACGAACATCGCTCGAAAATCGACGAGACGCTGAATTTCACCCAAAAACAGTTGGATGGACTCCATTCCGAGATCACGCGTAGCCTTGAGAAGATCCACTCTAGGGAAAAGTACCTCAATGGTCAGCTGGAGCCTCTGCTCTTGGAATACAGGAATCTGCAGGTGCGTAGCCTGTCTTTGATGTGATTTGCGTGTGTATGTTTTGAGGAAGGAAAATGGTATTTACCTCCTACCCTTTTTTCGGCCTTCCTGTGAAGTTTATGTTTTCCTTCTCTGCTGGTTTCCTTATAATGTCATACCATCGATAAGGAAACCAACAGAGAGGGGAAAAAAAATCTGGAAGGAAGAGAAAAATACGTAGTGGGAAAATATTAATACACGGTTGAAATAACCTATTATACTTTTTTCCCCGTTGTATAATTGTCGTCTCGATTCGCTATCTTTTATTACGGATCTTGCACAATATTCTCTAGAATGTGGCAGCGGAGAGCAGAGAGCAGTACCGACAAGTATCTGGCCGCCTGGTGGAGAAGTCCCACGAGCTAGCACAGATCTCGGACGAGCTGGATCGAGTCAAACACGAAATGGAAGAACGAGGGTCCAGCATGACGGATGGAAGTGAGTGTTTGTCTAGTCCTTGGCGTACGCTGTCTCTTCTCTCTTTTGTTCTTTATCTTTATTAGGTCCTCCTTCCCTTTCTCCTCTGTCTCTCCGTGATCCTTCGTTTATGGTAGTAGTGAGAGTCATTAATAGTTAGTTTGTCACTATCATTCTCTCTCTCTCTCTCTCTCTCTCTCTCTCTCTCTCTCTCTCTCTCTCTCTCTCTCTCTCTCTCTCTCTCTCCTCTCTCTCCTCTCTCTCTCTCTCTCTCTCTCGCTCTCTTCTCTCGCTCTCGCTCGCTCCTATCTCTCTCTTCTTGCTCTATCTCTCTCTCTTGCTCTATCTCTCTCTTACTCTCTCTCTCTCTCTCTCTCTCTCTCTCTCTCTCTCTCTCTCTCTCTCTCTCTCTCTCTCTCTCTCTCTCTCTCTCTCTCTCTCTCTCTCTCTCTCTCTCTCTCTCTCTCTTGCTCTCTCTCTAAGAGTTTTCTAACAGCCCCTTAATTTAAATGGTTGTTAAAGTAACAGGTGGTGTCAGTGATAAACACGGTGTGGCTGTTCCATCTTTATTGCTACAGGAGTTTTCATCAAAAAGCACTGTCTATATTTGTTGCGGACACAAAGAATAGGGATAACTGG